CTTTTAATTGTAAAAACTATAGGACAGGTTACCTGGTAGGAGGTAACCTGTATCTAAACAACAGTGGCCTGACTCAGACTGATTGCAATCACTCGCAGACAGATTGCTAAATGTTTGCAAATAACTGTTGTCTAATATTTAGGAGCAGACATATTGCTAATATGTTTCAAGAAATCTGGGTCAATCTGTCCTGATGAACGCCACTCGTTCCTGACAGTCTATTGGTAAAGGTTATATTTTAGTTACATGCCGTGGGCTCTTTCACAGTTAATACAATAGAGCAAAAAAAAAAAAAAAGGAGGTCAGAACACTCAGACCCACAGTGCCCAAGGAAATTTTTACAGGATTGCATTCAAATTAATGAGACAATCATACCAAAAGCTTTTAATCTATTAAAACCAAGAGCACAGCAACTTAAATTTTACCCTCCCACCACCTCCACCATCACCTACCACCCTATGTCTTTGAATCACTCCTCTCTCTCTCTCTCTCTCTCTCTGTTCTCTTTTAAGTGACCCTACTTGTGACTTTTCTAATCCATTTTTGATTTATTCCCCCAAATTTTCAAAGGTTTTGACACCACCCATTTCAAAACAAAGGCTGGACAATGACATCCTTGTTTTATGCTAACAAGAACTTTCAATCATTCATTCACACTGATCCATGTTACCAAAGATCTGCAGGAAAAGTGTTTGTGGCTAATTTCATCACAGCTATAGAAGTGGTGTTTTTTTATAAACCAAATTCATTTAAACAAGCCCATCCATCCATCGATTCATCCATTCTCTATATTATAATATAGAGAATGGATGAATCAATGGATGGATGAATATAATATTCTAATCCCCAAGAAAAACAATGTGAATATCGTATTTATTACTTGGATTTTGCTGTGAACAAACTGTGACAGATGATAGATTTGTAGACCAATGTTTGTTTGCAATGACCATCAGGTATAACAACCTAATGGGCCTTTTATATGTCAGAGCATTGGGTCTGTCAGCTTCCTTAGAGCTCATCTGTATCTAATTTAATTCATGCCCTCAAACTGAAATGTTTAAAAAAAAAAAAAAGTTTGTGAGTTAAAAGCCCTTTCCATGATTTTTTTGGTTTATGAAAACAATAACATTTCTCAGCTTCCTGCTAAAAAGGGAAGGCCAAAAAGGCAAACTCCATGACCACTGCAGGCAGGCTCTATTAAGCAGCCTTTGCTGTTTGTGCAAAGTGAAGCTAAAACCAATAATAAAGCCAACAGCCAAAGAAGCTGGAGGATATCAATTGGCAGACAACACGCTAGCACTAATGATAAAAAGGCTGTTTTATGCAAACTAGAGAATCAAACACTTTGCCTTTGGCAATGTCAATCACAGAACCCCATCCTGCTTCTAGATAGAAGCAGCTGGAGGAGTATACACATCAGTTGCCAGGTTAAGTAGCCAAAACAGTTCTGGCAACAATAAAGTCTATTCCAGGTAATGACAGGGTTTTGTTATTTTATGACATAAATTGCGGGATGACAGGTACATTACGTCCGTAACAGCACATTTTACTTTCAAAACGATGGCATTTATTCCCGTGAGCTATTACAGGTAAAGTGTGCACACAAGACCTGGACTTTTGGATTTTCCAGTGCTGTAGCTGTCGGCATTTGCTGAAGGCACACCACAGAAAATAACCTGTATTTGCTCAAGATGAGAAAATTACAAATAAAGTAAGAACTGAAAAATTGTATTTCAACACTGGACTATTATAATGGTGTGTGAGCAACATGTTGTCCTGTTCTGTAGCTGTTAGCCAACTCTTACCGGGTGATTAGGACAGCATTGTCATGATGAGCCATCCCATTCTCTGGAATACTGTTTCCATCGCTGTGATGAGACAGGATGGACTTCTGCCACTTACAGAAACTGTCCAGAGACTTGTCAGCATGATGATTAATTTCCAGATTTGGCTGCAAAAAACAGACATGAAAAACAAAGTGATAGAAGAAAACGCAATTTCCATCAGCACCAAAAAATATTGGGTGATGCTAGATACGTGCGGTTCGTAATTATCCTCTGCAAATTTGAACTAAAATATTTACCATAGTTGGCAGTATTTTACCAGCAGGCATGTTCAAAAGGTTCTTCCAAATTTTGATATTTCATTTAAGCCCTACATTCATTTTCTCAACAGGCTTTGCTTTTTTTGCAGGTAAGAATGTGTTATTAACGACTTAAAGCTGAGGTTCACTCACTTCACCATCTCATGGTACAAACTGGTACCTTACAAAAGTACAGCCAGCTCCTACTTTTAACTTAAGTTGACATCTCTTCATCACAAACACAGATGTCAAGTCTTACCATCTTTCTTCATATTCCACTTTGGAAGGTTTTATACTATTTTTAAATAAAGGACTTTACAAGAGATACCTTTAATGTATCATGATGTTTTTCCCATGTTGTGTTGTGGCCATAGACATTATAAAGGATGGTTGCAGCTACCATGAACTCATCCATTGGTTTATTACGTCAAGAGGAGCAATTTTGCCTTCATCGACTTCCTGTTTTAAAATGAGTAACGTGATCAGCAGTAAAATTGCATCCTCGTTGGCCAATGACTTTTTAATCACAAGTCGAGCATACTTTGGGTAATCCTCCTTTGTGAAACACAGAATAAGCTAAATTTACAACTCAATGTTTTACTCAGCATGACTCAAAATGAGTGACTGAGCCCATATATACATCAACAAGGTTTTTAACAAGGTCAGGTCCAAGAGCAGGTTTAACTTAGAATTTTATAGGAATGCAAGTTTTTTTTAAACCACAGTTATTGCCCCCTTTATTTGCTTAAAAGAACGGAGGTTTAAGGCACTTCTCCATTTGATTTACGATTGATTAGCACCTACGTCCTGCTGTTTAAATGCAGGTTGATTGATCATTGGCAAGTGTGAGCACCTCTATAGCGGCAATTGGCAGTTTGCTGGCCTGGAGTATTTTGTTGTATGTTAACATTACACCACAATCAGCCCAGTGGATATCCCAGCTAATTCACCTTAAGATCAGATTGTGCAATCCTCAGAGAAATTGTAAAAAACCCAAGAGCTACATTTCAGACTCTACAGGTCTCAGTCCTTTGGACAGATGAGCCCAAATCTGAGACATTTGACCATAATGCACAATCCATCACTGGGTGTCAAACACAATAGAGATTTGACAGTGAAAAACTTTCTTTTCACATGACTTTATACCCAGAAACCTGGAGGCCTATTGCCTGCTGTCCAAAAAATAGCATTCACGCAAAACAAAAATGTAAAAAAAAAAAAAAAGCTCAAAACAAAAAAAGGGCACTGAATTTATTGTCATGCATTGACAGCTCTAAACACTGAGCCAAAGTAGAACGATTATCTGAATGAATTATTGGAGGAGTACTGTTAGGGGATCAGAGGGATGTTAGAGGACCAGATTTTGCAGAAGACATGGGTTTTGTCTTTGATTTAGGAGACGATGCAGTTGTAGTAAAGGTAAAACCATTTACAGCAGGAAGAAAAAGATGAGTCATAGGAAGAGCAGAGGACTTGCACTATTGGAAAACAGGGAGGAAAAGTAGCTAATGTAGAAGGACAACTGGGGACGTTATAGTGGAGTTTGGTAAATGCTTCCACTTCCATGCAAAGGGTCATTAAACTGTGCTGATCTCAGCTTACCCACCAAATAATTAGAAAACATTCTGCATGCAATGTGAATTTTCATAATGACTGATATACTAGTGCTGCTTCATATAATTTAAAGTTTGATTCCACTTGACATCATTTTTGGAACTGATGCTACAAAAAGAGTTGCTAGACCCTTTCAGAAAAACAGATGGTAGGAAGACCCTCTGTTTCTCTCATCACACATACATGCACATATATAGTACATGTACAAATGCTCAATAGAAGCTCCCTGAGGGAAGATACCTGAGCACAGCTTTCATGTGAAGTGGTGTCCATATGGTGAAGAGTCTTTCTACTCTCTACCCTTTCTACACAGAAGTTGCGTTATACAGTTATACACTCAATACAGGTGAGGATATAGATACTAGAAGACGTGGCTTAAAACAGAAAAAAAGAGACTTTCTCTTACCTGATCTTCAGTCAGAACAATCAGCCGGGTCACAATAATGTTCACAACATTTCCTAGGCTGGCATCACGGTAAAGTTTGGCAACCTGACCTCCAGAAAAGAAGAAAAGACACAAAGTCAGACAACTGTGCCACACTACTCTGCCTGTCCACGAATAACATGAGCAACAATGGAGAAATCCTGAGTGTAGACTTGACCGAAAAAGTAGGCTCAAACTTACAATATTCATTACGGACAGGATGTAGTGCTCAATGTCTTTGCGTCCGTGGTAACCGACCATCATTTTATCAGCGACCACAAGCGTCTCCACAAAGCGCTCAGTGCTGATGGATCGCTTCTGTCTGTGGGTGCTGTTTGACAGCTTGCTGTAGTTTTGGGGCGAAGGCGTGCTAAGCTGGCAAGGTGCACTGGTTTTAATGAGGTCTGTGAATGACAGGGAGACAAAGCCAGGTAAGAGTGAGGTAACAATCAGAAGCGTGACACATTATCTGTTTGAGAGAGAGCTGGTTTGTGTGTGATAGGTGCAGATATGGAATCTGCCACTTTGAACCTAGCAGCTAAAGTCTTTGTTTTATGGCCCAGCAGATGCTCTGGGAAAAAGCTATAAGATGCTGCATGTTAGGACATGCTGGCTTCCTGGTGATGACAGTCTTTGCTCTTTCTCATAAGACCCTGGCCGAATACCTAAATATCCACCTGGTTATTTTTGGTTCTAACTCAACGTATCTCAGCAAACAGAGCATTGGTGAAACTGAGAATTTTTAATTCTCAAGATGACTATTGGTCCTATAAATAGAATTTGTTCTTGTGTAAAGTCTTCTTTATGCACTGAAGGGCGTTATATGAAAGCTGGAGCAAGACTTTCTGTCACAGGTTGAAAGGTGTCCAGGCCAGGAGCAACTATAGCACACAAGAGGCCCGGTCATGTCTAACAGAACCTGGGCCTAGAACCAAACCAGCACTTCCTCTAACTTGCTATGTATAGTTATTCCTTTACGTCAGTTCCACCCACACAGAGTCCAACCCAGATGGAGGTTCACCAACCTGAAATGCCACAGCTGAACTCCTGGCTATGCTCTTGTGGTGAGGGAATGGCAGACATTTTATAAATAACATGCTGCTGTGCTTCTTCCAGGTTCCATTCACCAGAGGTGGTTGAGGATATGTTCTTTAAAGGCTCTATTAAATACTGTTCTTCCTCTGTTGTAATAACACCGTGCTTGTTGGGGAAGAAAATCAATGAAAAAAGCAGGTTAAAAACAGGAAACATTGGTACTAAAAGTACAGTCTTAAGAAAAAGCACTGTATTTCATAATCATTTTATTAAAGGAGCAATCCTAGTTTAGACACTTGTTACTCTTGTCTGTGCTCAGACAGGCGGACATGAAGGAAACTCAGGCATCCTTTGTTTCAACAGGTGAACATTTTCAAAATCTGCTTTTATGAATATATACGAAAAAAAAGAACAAACATTCAAGCTATATTAGAGTTATTGGTGAGTTCTGAAATCCAAGGGAGATCGTTTGAACCAAGCAGCCATGTCTCAAGGGAAAACTCAACTAAATGCCAAAAACTGCTTTTCATCCAATGACCACTTGAGGCTGGCTCAAAAAGTGACGTGCATAAAATGGTTTGGTTTTGTGAATAGTTTCCCACCATAACAAGTCTATGGTGGGACATTTTGTAATATAAATTATTATATTATGGCCATGGCCACCTTAATTGACAAGTGTCTACGTTGCTATATCCCGTCACTCTTTTGTAGGCCTTACTTCTTTTAAGACAAGTCACTGAATTGGACCTTTGGAGGTTCTGTGTTGGTGGCTTTTGGGAAATTTTAAAGATGAAATTATATTGTAATTATCTGATAAACAATAAAGCTTGCTGTGAGGTGCACACTGTCCAAGATGTTTGGGCTTCAGTTATGAATGGAGATAGATAATCAAGCTAGCTAGCGTTAGCTCATAACTTGGACTGGGTGGAGACCCAGTCATCCAAATTTGGTCGTTTCTGACTACAAAGAACAAACACAGCAGCTAAAACGCCAACACTCAAGCTTGACACTGATGTCATAGTGCCTGATGTCTTTTATTTACAGTGGACAGTTTGAACACAATGATTATTGGAAGCCATATCACAACTAAAGCCTACACACCTCCAACAGCCCTATTGTTTACCACTTCTGACTGACGGATTGTCATGCTGACATCATAACAAAGTCACGTCAGTTTGAATCTGGATAGCAGGTGTTCCAAACCTTAATTTTTAAAGTCTGAAAATACTGGGCACGTGTCAGGTGGGGAACATGTGAAAAAAGATTTTGCTTTGTAGCAAGTTGTAAAAAAGTACAATCCAGAATTTGGGCAGCTAATTAAAAAAACAAAACAAAACAAAACAAGATAGTCATTTTGGAGTGTCCCTTTAAACAACTAATACATCCCCTTATGTGACCTCTTGCTTCTCATTAGGGACATGTTTTCACATATACAATGCATTAGTCACTAATCTGCAGTAAAATTTAAGAACCCCAAACAATCAGTTACATCCAGACCAGCATTAAAACATTCTTCTCCCCCTGTCAATGCCCCCTCTGGAGCATAACCTAGGAGAAGTCCTTCAGAGTGGGTTTATAGGAAACACTGGCTTGGCTCTGTAAAACCCACAATAAAAGCAATTAACCACATATCACACTAGCCTACAGAAACATTTTTGATGTAGGGTTTTAATAGTGTGTGATGTCAAGATCTCAAAATGTCCAGACAGCTGATTACATTAAAGTACAGACACAGTTTTGTCCATTTTTGGTGATGTAAGAAAAAAAGGGCAAACACTAATTCAATTTATGATACTCAGTGCTATGTCTTGCCAACACATTTGGCTAAGCGTTTCCCCCACATGATTACATTTGCCAATAAGAAGCAGGGCCTTTTTCTTTTTTTTTTAACTTCTTTAGAGTTACTCTCGAGCATGGAGGGATAACAGCTTTTAAAATTTGGCACAATTCCGTGATTAGTTAAGAGGTACTGAACAGTCACACAGTCTGTGCTTAGACAGGATAATTAGATGCCTTATTAGAGCTGCTCAGTTTTGTTTTTGAACTGAAACCTGCACATTTATAGGCATATCATTCAAAGATCACACAAGGATCTGCTTAAGAAATGTGATCTCAACTACTCAAGTGTGACATCCAGCGCACAAGTGAGAAGAAAAGCACTGATGGTTATCACAATCAGATCACTGAGATGATGTGATTTTTTTCAACATAAACCTCAAGTCACTCCAAGCTGCCTGCAGGCTCAGTGCGCCATGCGGAAAAAAAGCCAAGATTCTCTTAAGCAAACTGCAATAATCTTGTGATAATATTCTGCCGAATCTACCAAAAATCTACCAGAACCACAACCTAGTTATATCTGACATAAACATGGGGGGGGGGGGGTTGTGAACCTTGTAGCACTTTGTACTCACCAGGCCTTTGCAGTTGCTGAGTGCCACTCTAGTTGTACTGTGCTGATTTTGCAAGAATCCAATATAGTGACAGTTATCTACCATATTATGCCGCCACTCCAGCCCTTCTTTACCCCAGTACTCCACTGTAAAATGTTTTGACACCAAGTGGGGGTTGAGAGTCAGGTTTAAGTGAAAGTGCTTTCCATAGGCTGACAGTCTGTAGAACAGTCGGGGCTCCAGTGGGTCTAACGCGGGCTGGGCTCCCATCATCGGATCCACCGCCCCCCGTCTCCGTCGGCCTGGCCGGTGGTGCTTCACAGTGTAGCTCAGGAATTCTCCATTCTCATCCACCCGCACCGGGACAGTCAACTGGTAGTGCTGCAGGTAGGACAGGAACTCCTCTTTTACCAGGAAAAGAAGAGAATGGAACAGAAATGAGAAGATGTTATGAAAATAAGCTGTTGAGTACAGCAGAATTTTTTTTGTCCATGTGTCACCACCACCATACCTTGGGAGTTGTGTGAGAGTTTGCTGATACTTTGAAATTCAGAAGCAGTCATCACCACCAGGCTCAGTGTCCAAGTCAGCGTCTTCCACAAAATTTCCATAATTCAGGGAAAGATGTGACATGGGGTAGGGGTAGAGGGTGCTACAAATGGATTAAAAGGACATAATGGGTCTGATGGCAGACCACAACAAGTCCATGGTGCGCCTCCTTCAATTAAAATGCTCTCACCGTGCTTGAAGGCTCATTCAGGTCTCAGATTTCTCCTGAAGATGAGCACTCCCACATCTCACCAGCCTCTGAATTCATGTCAGCAGCTCATACAAAACACTGTAATCCATCAGACGCAAACAGGAAGCTCTGTATCTTTGTCTTGACCAATCCATCTGCACTGCTGTGGAGAAAATTAAGCAGCGATTACCCAACGATAGCCCACTCTGTTAGTTGATTTATTGGTCGTCAAGTGCTAGATCAATTGGCTACTAACTATTCTAAAACTTTGTACTTATTTAATATCTGCATTTATATGCTTATACTGAGCAACTAACTATAGCAGGCTTGATGGCAAGCTTTGACTCCATCTGTGGTTTGTAATCAATGAATGAAAACGTAAGGCAACGCTGAACACCCCATATTACAGATTTCCACGAGGAGCACTGGTGTCGGTTCCATTTGTGCCAGTACCTCTTTAAATACACGGGTGGCCGTTTAATGGCTGATACGCCGTGACAAAAACGTGGCAATACAATACAAATGACGTGTAAAACCCGCGCTGGAACGGACGCATACATGTCAGCTGTGCAAGCTGATATTTCTGCAGATTAGTTTTACTCACTGACGCGCTTGAAAGCAGCATGTGCAAACTACAAACTGCAGCACACAAGCGGATCCAGGTGACACAGCGGTGACGATCCGAGGAAGAGACCGGACTCCAAACACGGGTAGTAGCCTTTTTGGAAAGGAGGGCTTTTCGCAAATGTTTCTTTAGCTGTAGCGCTCCTGCGGTCCAGACAGACAGACAGACAACGCTACCTACTTGGCCACTCTGACCCAGACAGTTGGCAGCCAGCCCGCATGCATTACACCGGTACCGCAAACGCAACCCTCAAGGAGCGTCTGCAAGTCAAAATAGACCGCAGCTTTTGTTGCTCAGGGGAAGTTTGGTTGGTTTGTTTTCAGCAGCCGGATAGGCAAACTTTTGCAGATGTGGACCTGTAACGCTGCGAACTTACTGTGCGTAAATGCTGCCTAAAGTACGCCTTTTCCACGCAACGACCCCCCCCCCTTAAACTCTCTCTCAGCTCTTAGTGGTAAAATAGCTATTTTAACATTTGAAATGTTCACACGAATCATCTCCGATTATTTTAAAGAGAAAAAGTAGAAAAAACATATAGTCTTATTCTCTTGACAGAGTAGATTTGAGCCCATTTACCATGTTCATCTTCATTGTCAGCTCCAATCCGAGTGTGCAGACAGAGCCCAGGACCAAATCACTTCTGCAGCTCTCAAGTTCCGCACACAGACCTCCTTTGCTCTCCTCTTTTCATCTCTTTTTGAACTCTGCCATCCTGTGAAGCCTCACTGAGATTCCCCCCTTCAGCCCAGACACCCGAGCAGCAACAGCAGCGGTGGTATCCCAGCCCAAGACTCTGTCTCACACACACACACAAAAAAGCAGCTTTTCCAAGTTTTGGATTTCCTTCCGCAGAAGGTTTTATATGTTCAGTCTATCTTTATAAAATAAAGTTTGTGTTCATTGTGGTCGCTCTTAAAACCTTAAATATGTTTCTAAAAAAAAGTTTAGAGAAGCTGTGCATCCATGCAAACACCAGAAAAAGTTGGCTTACAATTCTGGAGCTGCTCCTCCTCACTACTACACTGCAGAGAAACCGGGTATGTCCCAGCTCCGGGACATTTTTTTTGAAGGGGGGGGGGGGG